TTGTAAAAACTTCAATTGAATTTCAATAAAGTTAAAGGCATGGCCTCACCGCTAATATTTAAAAAAAAAAAAAAAAACCAGTATTATATAAAACTTTAATGCAAACCAACAATAAAACTAATAGGTACAATAAACTAAGAAACTTAAAAATCAAAAACCTATTAAGAAAAGAAGTAATATAAACTTTTAACAATACTGTTAAGCTAATAAAAATTGTAAAACATTTTTTAAAAAAATAAATAAATAAACTAAACAAATATATAAAAAAGCATATATACTAATTAGATTATCAAATTTGTTAAAAAAAAAAGATACAAAGATATACTATACTAGATCATCTAAATTGATAGTTTAGAAGGTTCTGTCAGTTCTAAGTAAAAAGAGTTTAGTAAGGATAACATATAGGCTAGATGCTGCAAAAAAGAACCAAATTGACAATTTTTTCAAACCTTTTTTTTTAAGCCTAACTAATACAAAATTAGTTCAAGAATATTTTTTACTTAAGAAACAAATACTGTTATCTTAATAAAATTTTGCTGCATAACTCTTTAAAGTTTGCATTTTCTTATTATTTATTATAAGATTTATAACATAAAAATAGATTTTCCGAAGATCTTTTTTTTTGTCAATTTCGGTCCTTTTTGCGGCACCTAGCCCATATCATGAAGATAGTTAATTTCTGGCACGCGATCATAGCCAATTAGATTGAAGGATCAGGTGTAACATAAAAATTATGCCTTTTTAAAAAAAAATTTCTTGTGAAATTTTAAAGATGATGCTTAATTCGATTGTTTTGATTTTACGTTACACCTGATCCTTCGATCTAATTGGCAAAAAATGAATTTTTTTTTTATTGTGAATTTCAATCACATGATGATAATATTTGTCTTGAGCCAATAATACCGTGATCTAATCTCTTAATTCTGCCATATTCTAATACTAACCTTAACGATAATGCTGGCCATGCTGTGTCGTTAAGGTTAGTGCTGGTCATTAGCTGGGTCAATAAGGCTGTGTCTGTAGCTTTTCCCTTGAAAATTACTTTTGAAAAATTTCCGTGTCCCTCTTAAAATCACGAAATGGGTAACCTGTCGTTATCTGAATTCGGCCCAAATTAAGACTTAATTTGAGCTGAATTCAAATAACGAGTCACATCATCATAGATCATTGTTGCGCTTACGATAATCAGTGTTCATAAATTTCTAATATAAAAATATATGTTGTATATTAGAATCTATTTAAATTGAATTAAATATTATTTTTTTTCGAACTAACTTAAAATTAAAGTCGTTTGGTCACACAATACTAATTATTACATTGTTTATAAATTAATGCTAGGCAACAAACTCACGAACTTAGCGGTTTTGATTACTTTTGAGATTTTGCTTCTGTAGATTTAACAATGTTAAAGTTTAATTCCGTAATAAAATGCATTTAACCATACGTTTGTGCTGTTATTTAATTCATAAACTTTAGTCTCTATCACATAGATGGGTGATTCGAGCAATTAATAAAAAACCGATTGTTTATATAAAAAAATTGCGCGGGCCACTGGGGTGTAAGTAAATCTATATTAGTAAACAAAAATCCCGCCAATTATTCTCTGCATACAACAGCGATCATAAGTGCTATAAATAGAATATTCACACTATCACCATTCTGCGACGAGATTTCGTTCATTTAACACCTACACCACAAAAATTTCAAAATTCTAGATATAAGAATACTGTTTCTAAAATAATGGATTTAAAATACGGCCTAATATGCTTATATCCAGAGTTGGCGCGGTTCTCTTCATATGAAGAAGGTAGCTACTGAACATAAATAATTCATATTCTTCAGAAATACGTGTCTAAATGCCACTTCAAACAATTCGTTATTTAATAGCTAAAGAGTGGTTAGTCAGCGAGAGTAGTGGCCAAATTTTAAATAGTTCTACAGATACACCATTGAATGACCGTCCAATTGATGATATAAATGACGATACGGAAAGTGAAAGCTCCTTTGACAGTAAAGTTACCGACGAATCACCATCATTCGACAACAATCCTATGCAAGATTTTGATGAATCTAATCATGAGGATATCTTAAATAATGAGGCAACAGATTCTAAACAAACAAGTAACGATGATTCTATACGTGATGAACATAGAGACAAATCTGGAACTTGGAAATCTACTCAGCAAGATTCGGCAGAAACTGCCAAAATAGCCAATATGAAGCATTCAAAATCTAGAATAGGATTGCGTAGTGTAAAGATTTTCTCTAATTTACGATCAAGATTTGTTAAAATTGAAGCTAATAAACCATGCGAAGGTAATAAAATGCATCGAAATTTCTGTTTATTTGATTAGGCATAAACAATTCAATTAACAAAAGTATGATAATTTGTTGTAACGTATTAAGAGAAAAAGTATATTTGCCCTGATCCACTTTGTAAGGCAAAATTTGCAAAATCATGTCATTTAAAAGCTCATCGAGAAGTGCACGCTAAAGGGTTTTTCCTGTGTTCGTTTGAGGATTGCGGCAAGGTCTTTTTTACAAGACGTGATGCGTGCAATCATTTTTTACTGGACCATGATGAGGTATTTATAAAATGTAGTATTTTTTGTCTTTACCTTTTTTTTTTGCTTTGCAATTGATTTTTATTATGATTAACATTGTTTGTTCTTAAAAAGTGGGAAAACCAAACATGAGCATTTATCGTGAACATCAGATCAGGGAAGATGGTAAGCAAATTATCATGAGATTACTTGAGAAAATTCATTCAATTGCATAATTTTGTTTTTAGCTGATATGAAAGAATATAAAGGAAACCTTTTTAGAAAATTGATATGTAAATAAACTTAGGCTCACATATTACAGATGTCATTATATTATATATATTTGAACATAATGATTAGTATTATATTTTATAGTTATGATCCAGATCCATTATTGAGATGCAAATCTATATGCATCCTTAACCGCAATACGTAACAACTTGTGCAATTTATTGCAATAAGCTAATAAAAATCCATGGTAAGGAATTCCTTTGTCCAAATATAAATTTGTCAGTGACTGCCCATATAAATTTGGCTTAAATTAATTTTAATTCTATGTAGTGTAACCTTAAAATCAGGCTATCGCTATGTAATTGGAGGATCTCATCTGATCTCATTCTTCTGTTACCCTATTGTCGCCGAAGCCTTGGCAACTTTGAGCAAAGATACGTATCTCGAAGACCACATAACTAAATTCAATGAAAATTTTGCTACGATTATTTAGAATTAAATAAAAATTATAGAATCTGTTATGATGTTAAGATATCTTCGCTCAAAGCTGTTTTTCCAATCAATGACAAAAATACCAAGAAAATGGTGATGATAGGTATATTAGATATAGGTCGAATACATTTAGAATATAGATTAACATTTTATTAGAATAGTATTGACCCAAAATGAAGATTCTTACAATTTTTTCATTATTTATTTCGCGTAAAATCTACATAAGCCTGAAGGCTGATCTACAAATTTGGTCGCATCAATTGACAATATTATAAATATATACTTCAACATAAATATGCAATGTATACTAAAAGTTATTAATTTTAGTAAATTTTAGTAAATTTTACTACACATACAATTATATATATATATGAGTTTATCATGTACAACATTTATATGAAGGTGACGCCAGTGGAAAAGGGGATACAGCGATTTTAGTTCTTTTATTTTGATCTGAGTTTATAGAATAGTGGTAAATCCAAATGTTGCTATTTCCTTTTTTTTTTTCTTGCGTCACCCACATATTAAAACAAATTACACAACTTTTAACTAAAAAATATTTAATAATTCACCGTTATAGCAAATTTTAGTATCAAAATTATTTATCAACAACTTCAACAACTAAAGGTTGTGTATCAAAGTACATTGTTCTAGTATTAACATCTTCACAATGGTATAAAAATTTGAAATCGCCTCTTGAAAAGAAACATATGGGTAATGTGTAAGTTAATGAAGATTTTGCTTCAATCTATTAAATAATAACCAATTTTTAATAGATGGGAATTGAACATACAAAAAATGATACCACAATTATTACCTTCGGTAATGGTGACTGTAATAGTCCATTCCATACCATCCTTCTCGATAACTCCCATTCCATTATTCCGTCACTATAACTTTGTACTGGTTGGATTCTGATGCATAATTTGCATGGTTTTTCTGAATTAAGACGATAGTTAATATTGTATTGTAATTTCACAACTAATAAAAATAACAAAAAAGCCTTGATTACCCTGATTATTGTATACAATAAATTTAACTCGGACAAATTCGTTCACCGGACATCTAAATTGATTACAAGATATTTTCGATACTCCTGGTATCTTCTCAATATCAATTCCAAATGAAACCTCATTCACTTTTAAGACGCTTAACATAGATTTGTTTAGCCTTAGGGTTCTTATATCGACTATCCCCCTTTGATTGGTAGATGGCTATTATTTAAATTTGGTTAAGATTAAATTTTTGGAATTGGTTCTTAAGTGCATATAATTATACCATAAAAAAGGATACAGATTCCCAAATAGCTTTTACTTTTTTCAACAAACTCTCTCTATACCAAAACAATGCAAGTTGTAGTTTTTCTTGTTCAGCAGTTCCTTTTGGTCCCTTTGATACTACAAATTGTTTTGATGAAGGGATTGGTTGTGTATATTCTCTTTCACATAGCACGATCTTTCTAATTGGTAATATAATACTATAATATTACGGTTGAACATTTTATTAGAATAACCGTAAATTGTGGGTATTTATAATAAACTAGAGCTGGAATGTAAACTAACCGTGCAGTGGCAGAAGGTTGGATCGTAGTAATGATACTTAATGGTTCAATATCCTCTCCTATAAAAATAATGCATAAGGACTATCATCCAGTTTCAACTCGATCAAAAAATGTAAAAAAGTACAAGACATACCTTCATCAGATTCAATAGTAACATTAAATGCAGAATGCCATAAATTTCTTATATCAAATGTTAACAAGCAATAATTATTTTCCATTCTAACCATAAAATCTTCTTTTGAACCACTATTCCATCGCATTAATTTAATTAAATCTTCAACTATTTTATTATGTTGAATTTCATGTGTACCGTTAACAGCGTTGGTACAATTATCGGGACCATTTAATGGCTTGAAGTTTAGTATATCCATAGAAACCGGTTCAAGATTTTGATGAATAGTTAGAAGAACTGGATAATAAACTTGTCTAGTATAGAAGGTTTCATAATCAATATAATTAGGCCTATTAATATATCCGTAGTCTATTTGTACCATGCCGCTAACACTGTTGCGAATATATTAAGAATAAGTTTATCAATGAAACATATATAACCTGATAAAAAAAAAAAACACAAACCATCCACGTTTTCCGAAAAGTTTAATAGTGATAACAAACTCCTCTGCAGGTAAAATGCTAAATGGTGTATCTGGCTTTTCCCACGAGAAAACGGGCTGTTTGTGAGCAAACAACTCCATTTCATAAGCTTCTTCAGCCGGAATATCGGATGATTTTAAGATGGCTTGTGTATTTTCGATTGTTGAATCTTGGAACGATAAACTTATATAATCAACAGGAATTTTGCCAACGTTCTCGAGCCTCATCGTCATCTCCATTCTGCTGTAACAAAGTTATATGTCAAATACTTAGGATTAAAAGGTGAATCTTTTTTAAATACATACTTTTCTCCTTCAAAAAGCATAACAGCTCCATGCATCAATGAAGTAGACTTAATTTTAATTAATGGTTGTTCGACAATTACAGGAACCTTTAAAAATTCTGCAACAAACTCGGGTTTTTGTTCAGAGTTTGAATGAGCTCCTGGATGCGAGCTATCTAAATGGTCAAAATCAAACTTAGAAAGACGATAATAAAATATATAATTAGTCAAAAGAGCTTACCCCCATGGCTTAAATGATCCAACATCGCTAATCCGCTATTTTTTTTTAATTAAAGGTTCAAAAATATCTAGGAATCCATTATAAAAGTGCGAATACAAATATATATACAAATTTATACATGCTCACCATTTTTTTATTCTTTTATTATATTCATTTTCCTTCTCCTTTTTTTTAATTTCATCCGCATCAGGCGGTAAATAAACACAAAATTCCTGTTCGAGACATCCATGAACCTTTATTTTACATCCTCTAACAGCCAAATCTCCAGCTTCAGTTGGAGTGCCTGATACGCGTAAAGTTACTGATGTATTAGCAGGGATTACGGTAGACATCGGGTTAGGCGTGAAACCTACCCCATCAGCACTATAAAAGCAGTGAGTAAATCTGAATTTGTTGCTTGATAAATAAAATAACAAAGTTTAATAAAATTTCGCAGCAAACCTCACAGAGATACTTTGTATATCTAAATCAAATGCAAAAGGATTTGCTAATGTGACCAAAAAGTAAGCGGTCTCGCTTGCTACAAGATGTGTCTAGATATTTAATTTAGTTAAATTTCGAATATAAAAAAAGGGTATATCCTTTAATAAAAGAAACACATATAAATGAAACGAATTATATTAGCAATGAATACCTGAACAGTATCAGCTTTTGCTTGAAAAGAAGGTCGATAAAGGAATGGATCTTTTTCACCATTTTCTCGGGACAAGGCATTTTTTCCAGGACGCGGATATGGTATCCTTCGTGGTGTAGGACTAAATAAAAAATAGATTACAATTGTAACTATTTTGACAAATCAAGTTCATATACTTTTAAATATTAATCGAACCTATACATACCGACACACTTGGATACCTCTAACAATGTTTAAGCCCCAATATTTAAATTCCATGTCTAGTCCTTGTTTTTTTCCGGCACCAACGACCCTTGGTAGTGAGCTTGATAAACGAAGTTGTTCATCTCTAGGCAAATACATAAATAATTTACGTAAGAGCCTCGTTGTATATTTGATAACAGATGGATAATCTGTAAAGTAAAAATAATATTTAAGTACAAAAAAAAATTAAAAATACAAACATTAGAAATGCTAAATAATTATACCAGGTAAAGCTTCAGATACTGTTAATGCATCCTTCAATATGTCAATTTGAAGGTCCGGCCAGCCAAAGGTGAGGGGCCTCACATCTTCAACCGCAGCAGAAAAATCTTCATTGTCGACAGCATCACCCACACCATACACATCACACACCTTTTTTAAACATGTCAATAAGCCAGCATCACTTCCAGTTTGCTGCTTTTGTGCTGATTGATAACTTGAACGAGGCTTTGCAAGAAGTGGTAAAATTAACAAGGCTGTTTGACGAAGGAAAAAAGCATGTTTTCGGCGCAAATTAATTATAGAAAAAATAGTAGACAATGTAGTAGTTATATGAATCTATAAAGAATTAAATATAATGTAAATGAAAAAAAAAGCTATTAATAGACAAACAAAAAAAACATTTCCTAGTTAAAGTACCTGTTCAACTATTGACATATCTTCAACATATTGTCCATAACCTTTCATCGCCCATTGAGTGACTTCAACTTTTGACACCCCACTAACAGAACTTAGACCCCATTTTTCTTTTGCACCTTTCTCCGGAAGGCCACCCTGAACAATTAGTGCTAAAGCATCATCACCCCATCCACCTGAAACCCATATACCGGCCAGCATTTTAGCGACCTTTAAACAAGCTTCAGCATATATTATATGTGGCACTTGATTATTGGATGAATGTGAAGTTTTTGCGTAAAGAGTAAGAATTGTAACATATTTGTCAGTTATATCTGCCCAGAGAGGTTTAGGTGTGTCGGGCAAAGGACTCGATGGAGAGTTTGGATTCGGAGATGGAGGAGATTGTATAATATGTGACTTTATAGATGCATATATGTTAATAAATGGTTGGTTAACGATGTTATATGGACGTAAATCCTACCTCAATATCAGTTTTTAAATGTGCAGAGATCACCAAAGCAACACATAATCCTTCTAAAGCAGCTCCATGCCATAAAAAATCCCCATTTGCTTTCATTGCTTCAATCGCTAATGAGTAACTGATTAAGCAAAAAATAATTAAAAATAAATAAAATAAAATACAATCAAAATTTCAAATTTGATAAATATATATATATAATAATTACTTTTGTACGGCGTCAGGTAACCTTCCGGCCATTAAAAACAAATCAGCTATTAATTTGTAAACTCTTCCTTGTGCCCTCCTTTTTAGCTTCATATCACTTGGAATGTTCACTAAAGTCGATGCAGAAAAAGATCGACCATGGAGAGGATTATCTTTTAGATTTACACCAGCAGTTGTACCACCCAAGCCAGCAGTAGTCATGGCTTGCGAAGGTGGCGTGAGTGGCATTGTGGAAATTTGAACTGATTTGAGATCAGGAGATGAGTAAGAATTTGTTGGAGAAGAATATCTACCATTTTGAGGTAGAGATCCATTAGTTGAAGTTACGTTCGATGCTGGAATTTTAGGTGAATGTATGATAGATTTCCTTTCAATACTGGATGCCTTAATAAAAAAAAAAAAAAAATTTAATCCACTAGATTTAAAAGATATTAATGAATATGGACGAATAACATACCAGAGCACCAAACTCCGTTAGAATATTGCTGGTAAAATCAGAAATCATGGTGCTCATATAAAATCCTATTTTTCCATCATTAGGAAACATTATCAGTCCCTTGGTATCATCAGGTTGATTTTCTGCAGGATCGAATGCAAAACATCGGTAGGCAACAGATGATGAATACTTCCCGAGGTATAATTAAAAATTAAAGCACATGTTAAAATATTAAGGTCGCCTTCAATTTAAAAATAAAGCATTCCCACTTACATTCTTGTAAATATCCATAAATTTTTTATATCCATCGTTCAAATTTGTCCATTCACAACAATCCATAATGCCAATAACCTATTTTTATGATTGATCACAATATCTTTAAAACTGAGTTAAGTAAAATTAAAATCCACAAATAAAATTCTAATCCTCAAAAAAAAAAATTTAAAATAAAAAGTAAAAAGAGGTGAAAATAGATAATCGCAATTAACGTACCCCAAAAATTCTACGATGCATTTGAAATTCCTCAAGATAGGAATGTTCTGGTTCGTAAGAAGTTACAAAATTTAAATGTAACTGGCCTTCATTAAATAACTGTGAGCTGAACATAGCTGTGATTTGTTTTTGTTGTATATGATCGTTATTAAAAGAACGGAAATAGGGAATTATTTTGGGCATAAGTAATGAATGCATTTTTTTTTTTATTACTATTATTTTAATTATTGATTCTAGCCATCGTTTCTTAGCTGGTTCAAAAGATTTTGTTGAACAATACGTAGAAATAGTATTAAGTAAAGCCTCCCAATCTTTACGATCGCTGAAAATTAAATACTATACTCAGTACCAAGATAGAAAGAAAAGTACCACAGATCGTTGCATCTCAATTTTTTTTTTACTCGAGTTATTCCTTGAAAACTATTGGCTTTACCAATCAAAAGGCCAGGTAGTGAAAGAGAGAACAGTTATACCTACACTGACCACCACGCATATCTGGGGGGACGTCCCCCAGCTTGACGATCGTGTAATTTTTAACTAATTCAACCTTTTGATGAAACGTCGCAGCCTTAATCGGATGAACTGGGACAAGAAGGATACGTATACGAGCAGGTGCTGTGAAAATTAGAGGATCCATTTCTTAAACTTTATAATTTTCAAGAGAGAAAAAATTTATATTAACACCCACATGCGAAATATTATGCACGGACACTGCTTGTGATTGGATGATTACGATTGCATACTACATATCAGATACAGCAAATCCCATAACGATAATAAATATTTTTAAAATTCAAATTCTCACAAAACTTTAGCAAAATGAACTTTAATAATGATGCTTCTGCCGACAATGCACCAAATGATACTAAGGACGATGTTCAGCATGTTATAAAAACAGGAGAGGAGCCTCCAATGGCGTCACCGAAGAGTGACACCGAAGCGGTAATTGCAGTTTTAGCATTATGATCGTAAGGGAGTTTCACTAAAAAGCGAACTTCGAATTTGACTCATAGCAAATATCCACTACACCAACTGCTACTGAAACTATTCCTATGTCTATACCCCCGGCGGTTCCTCCTCGTACATTCACGTCGCATGCCCCAATTGAAACACATGTGCCACAAAGGCCCGTGGTGAGAACTCCTTTGTGGCAAAAACTTGCGTTTGTTTTGCTTATAACCGGCACTTTTGGTGCATTAATGATTGCAGCGATCAAGGTTATTGCCATTCAACGTTCTACATTGCACGTGTCCATAATTTTAATTACTAATATTATTTTTATTTATTTAGAAATTCTTTGGTCCAATGATTACCTCTATTATCTTTGCCAGGCAACAACTCTATTCACATCAACTTTCTCTTTTTAGAAAATTCAATGAAACGCTTTTATCATTCGTATCCCTGCTAAGAACAGCTCGTGTGTCGTCACATGACAACTCGGATGATGATGATTTACCAACTCCAACTGACCAAGATGAAATATCAACACCACCATCTTTACTTGCACCACTTTCAACCGATTTAACAACATTGACAGAAAGACTAAATACGTATCAAGAAAGTTTAGAAAAGAATAATGACATATCTGATTTAAAACTTTCGTTTAATGCATTGACAACATATCTCACGGAAAACACATATCCATATAAAATTTGGACTAATAATGAACGTGGAGATTCAGCTGTTGCAAAGTTCAAAGAAGAAATTAGGGGGTTAAAAGGATTACTAATCAATCGTAGAAATTTTCCCAAAATCCCTGCATCACCAACTACCTACTCAACACAATCTTCAGCATCTAAACTACCAACAGGATCACAAATACAAGAAATCGAATGAGATAATTTTTAAATAAATACTAAATCAATTGTAATCGTCACTGTATATTAGTTTGAGAACAAAACCTCAAATGTTGGCTAATTTATGCCAATCTTGTATGTACAACAACATTTAGGCCGCTCCAAATTGATTCTATGTTTAACATAACCCCTTCTATTTTTTTAAAAAAATTAACATATTATCCAATCAAATTGCAGTATTGGCATTTTTATTTTTTATGGCCAATAGTTATTGTATTTTTGGCCTCCTTTTTTACAAATTTTATGTTAAACACAGAATCAACTTGGAGTGGCCTTAGGAAAAGTAATAAAAAAAAGAAAAAACATAGAAAAATAATATAATTTCTTAGCACGTGTTTTATTATAAATGGTTATTAATGGATAAGAATTTGAAAGTAACAATTTATACGTAGTATTTATTTAGTTGCCCAATGTAGAGGTTTTGTTTTTCAGATCTAAAACCGATTATAACGTATGAAATCTGCGTAATAAGGATAAATTAATGAGTATTTTGTTTTGTTTATAAGGATAAATTAATGGATATTTTGCAGTTGTAAATTGTCTCCATATAATGCAGTAATGTTGGCACATTTATCATTAGGGCGAATAACACCATCGGCATTACTTTATTACTTATTAAAAATGATTTATAAATGAAGAAACAAAAAATAATCAAATTTTAATAAAGATATCAATATAGGTATTATGAAGAAGTTGACAGTTTAGAGATATGTAATAGTTATATCCTGCGCAGTCGGGTATAAGTGGGATTTTGCAGTGGCCGCGTAAGCGGCCGGTTATACTTTACTGCAAAATTTTTGCCTATATCCAACTGCACAGGATATGACTGATTTATCTCCTGCCATCTATGTAACATAACTTTTCATCTACTTATTTCAGAGCGAAACCTTTATTTTACACATTGTTTTTGACATTTAAGATTAAATAGAATAATATTCAATTAACTAAATTAAATAGATATATGTCTACGTAGTAGAAATAAGAACATGAAAAAGTTACAGAGATGGGAGATAAAGTTTTGTCTCATATATATTTGGGTCCAAATTTAAGCGTGCATTTAGAAAGGGTGTGCACTTATAGAAGGTGCACTTATGAAGGTTTTACTGTAATGTTGATTTATGTTGAGTAAACCTTCCAACAAATACTATAGACTAAGTGATTCAGGTTCTAATACATAGTGATAGAATTTTTTTTTTTTTGGTATTAAGGTGAAGCCTTGTTCCTATCTTTATTCATAATCATTAAGTAGTAACTACATGGAGTTACTGGTGTTACTGGCAAATCGGTGGGATCACACACACAAAGATAAGAAATGCGACGAATTGTCGCTTGACAAATGGTTATGCCGCGTAACGTTCCTCAACGTCTTAGAGGTGGGACGATTTGGCACTGGTCTAGGGCGATGGTTAAGGAGCATTATTAAGAGAATTAGGATGGGGTAAGTGAAAGGGTCCTGAAAGAGCATTCTACTTTTTGAATTTTTTTTTTTTTTTTTTGAGTAGGAATTTTAGGGGTCTTTATTTATTACTTTTTTTTACTTTTTGTAGGGTGGGGAAGGCACATATTTTATTCAAGTGAAAATGATTCCTTTTTATAAGATTTTTACAGAGTAGCAAGAAGAACATTTTTGAAAAATTCGTTATTATTCTAACACATTTTGTTTCATTACTTCAAGTCCTTTTCTCTCTTTTAGTCAATTCTTTTTCCTTCACAGCTTTTATTTCCCTAACAACATTTGGCATTCAAAAACATTTTTATGTCATTCCTTTCTATTTTTCACATAGGATCCAACCAATTCATTTCTTTTCAATTTAACTCTTTATTTCTACTTTTCATAGTCTCTTACTTCTTGCTCATTCAATGCTTCTTTTTACTTTTTAATCAACGTTCTCACAACTATTCTATCTATTGGAAATGCATCTACATGGTCACAAGCTTTACTCCACAAGGCAATATTAATCTATTGACTCATTTTAGCTTATACTTTCGTCAATCGGGTTAATGCAAATTACTTTATTATTTCGGGTCTAACAGCAGTAATTGTTCTGGGGGTTTAGTGGTTATGGTCATGATCTCATGCAGCATTGATTCAGGACTTCACTGTTTATCCATTTTAGGCAGTTCTTCATGATCAGAGGTTGTACAAATTTGTCACTAACAATTTGTCCTTTTTTAATTTTTACATTCTGGGAAAATATAGAAAAAGAGGGCAAGAACTGTCTGGGTTTAAAGGGTATCCCATGATGTATATCATTGTATCAGAGTCCAACTAAAAAACATTTTTTTTTTTTGATAGTCTATAAGTTAAATTATACTAAAAGTCCAATAGCAAGCCACCTGTTATGACATTAAATCTAAAAAAAAACTTGACAAAAAGAGAAAAAAAAAATTAACATTTATATCTTAAATGAAGGGTAGAACCTTTGCTATATGCCCCAACTCACGTGTATGGCTGTTATTTGTAACCAATAATATAGATAAAAATAATAAAAAAAAAACGTAATAGGTATAGGATAAAAAAAAAATATTATAGAATTATTATTATTTATATCATTTATTCATTTATTATTTTTATTTTTATTTTTTTTTTATTATTATTATTTTTATTATTATTTTTTTTTTTTATTAAATTTTTTTTTTTTATTTTATTCATAATACCATTTTAGTAAACCTAGATTAAACAGAGTGGCTATAAACTTTCCGTCCAAGGTCCTCAGTTTGTATGCATCATTTAGAAGTTTATTATAAATGAAGTATGGAACTTTACACTTTGGAATGAGCTTGTTACTGCAGGAGTACTTTTTTGCAGTGTCCTCCAATAGGACTTTATTTCCTATTTCGAATCCAGGATTAATTCGATAACATGAATCATGGTAGGCCTTTTGGTTTATTTGACTTTATTGCATCCTTTCGACAGCTCTATTCCTAATAATAGGGACCTGATTTATTAATTCAAAGGTTCTGTGTAGTATGGTTTTCTTCAACAATTCTTTAGCACAATTAGGGTGGATGGGTTGTCTTGCATCATGGTCATAGACAAGAAAAAATAGAGACATTTTGGTGGTTGGGTTTCAGATGATATAGTATGCAAAAAGTACAGGTGGTATAAACAAGTCCCAGTCAAGAATTTTATTGACCAACTTTTCTAGAGTTTCACACAGTGTTTTATTAAAGCACTCGACAAGGCCATTGGTACTGGGATGATAAGAGGTAGAAAAATGCTGCTTCATATTAATTGTTTCTAATAAGAACCTTATTATTTCATTATAGAAATAGGTACCATGGTCAGACAAAATTCAGTCAGAGCATCCATGATGACAAATTATATCATTATACAGAAAATTAGCTACAGTTTGTATGTCAGCTTTCTGTACAGGTCAGGCTTCAGACCAACAAGTCATAAAATCTGTTGCAATAATAATATAGCAATTTAACTGTGGTATTTAAAGCAAAAGACTTATGAAATCGATGCCAATTTTATAAAATGGGGCTAAAACGGGAATTGGGTATAGAGGTCCATAGTCATGTGGTTTTGTTTGTCTTTGGCATAGGTCGCAAGTTTGAATATACTTTTGTATGTTGGAATACATTTGGGGTCAAAAATAGGTATCTCGTACCTTAGTAAATATGATATCTCTACTAAGATGTCCATCTAAAGAGTGGATATGTACCAAGTACAATATTGTGTTAATTTCGTACTTTTGTAGTACCCTTAACAGATTTCTCTTTTTTCTTCAATCTTTTTTGTACAGAAGACCTTCATGTATTTCAAAAAATTTGCTTTTCTTCTATATTCGACATTGTTAGGTTTGATCAAGGCTAGGGGATAAATACCTATCTTCGAGATACCTTTTCAAGTAATTGTAATAAGCAATATTCATAGTTGCTGTGGCTTTACAAATTAATTCTGAAATCTCTTTTTTTTTTTTTTTGTTATATTGTGATTGTTATTATTTATTAAAATTTAGTTTAAAATTTTCTTTAGTTTGAGTTTGTGGGTCATGTGCGCCAAGACACCAGTAATCTGGTCTGGATTTTTATTGAAACCAGATTTGAGATTGGTTGGTTCATCTTCTCTCTTTCTCCCTTTTTTGTTTTTTGTATATATATATATATTGTTTTGTTTTTGTTTTTTTTTTATTAAGATTTTTTATTCATGGTTATAGGAATTCTCAACAGAGTGTCGGCATTACGATGAACATGATTATGATGATGGATGATCCTAAAATTATATAGTTGCATTTGCAACACCCAACAAGCATGTTGACCAGTTAATTCTGCAGTTTGAAGCCATTTTAAAGCAGTCAATGCATTTAGCCAACACTTTATTCATCATATATTGGAAGATGGTGGGGGTGTTGCACAGCCCGAAAGGCATTACTATGAACTTATAGGTGCCAGAGCTGGTGATAAAAGCAGTTTTTTTCATATCATTTTCTTTTATTCGAACCTGCTAATATCCTGACATCAGGTCTAATGTTGAAAACCAGATTGTAGAACCAAAAACTTCAAGCAATTCATTGATTCTGAGCAAAGGAAAGGTGTCTTTTTTCATAACAGAATTTAGCTTCTGATAGTCAATGCACATTCTCAACTTACCACCCTTTTTGGAGACAATGACAAGTGAAGATGCTCAGGGGTTTTTGGATTCTTTAATAAGACTCTTTTCTTTTAACCATTCAATCTTCTTTCTTATAAATTCATAAATGCTGGAGGCAGCACAATAGGGGGTTTGTTTGATTGGTGCTGCATTTCTGGTATCGATTTCATATACCAACATGTTAGTTTAACCCAAGTTGCTAGCATCATATACAAAAATAGCTTTTTCTTCATTTAAAAAGGCTTCAACCTTTGTACTTTGTTCTGGGGTCAGATGAAATCCACATACATTTTGTTTTAACTTAATTTCTAGAGATTCATCTTCAGGGTCAAGTTCATTTGACGATATTTCTTCTATATGCGATAAGTATAAGGCAGAACTATGGTAATCTTTCTAAGGATTGTTAAGAAATTCATTGTCCAATATTTTACTAGTATAGAATCCCTCAGCTTTATCCAAGACTTCGTTTTCATATTTGAATTCATCGAACATTCTATCACCTTTATCTTTATCAACTTTAACAAAGGGATGGTCTCTATCATATGACATCGGAATCTTGACAACCTGGTCCTAGTATTGCATATACAACTTACTTTTGTCCATATGCAAATGAGCATAAGTCTTTCTAAATCAATCCATTCTGAGAAGGAGCATTTTATCAGTGGATTCAATGACTTAAAAATTAGTAGGAACCATAATACTACCTAAAACTAACTTTACATTGCCAATTTTTCTAAGCATCCTTACTTGGGTCCTATTTGCTGTTACAACTATGATGGTGGAGAGTTCTATAATTTTTAATTGCAATTTACTCATCATTCTATTGGACATAATGCTTACTGCAGTGCCAGAATCTAGTATAGCAACTACTAAATTATTCTTTATCTTTATATAGCAATGAGCAGCTATAGTCCTTCCATTTTGTACAGAGTTTGTCTGCATGGGTTCAGGTTCTGGTAGAGGTAATAACCTTCATAAGGCTCTTGCAAGCTTCTGCCTTTGATCTGGGTATTGTAACATTTGTCTAATATTATATTAGCCTTTACATTCATAATATCTTCAGCCACATCATATGGTCTCAATTGATCAATTATGAAGGGGCCTCTCCTTCGTCAAGGTCTTGTGGAAGGAACTACTAGGGCTTTTGATATTAGCAATAGAGGGTTCACATTGACTGGAGGTGATACTGGGATTGCTACTAGGGTTGTTATTGGGATTGGTACTGGTGGTACTACTGAAGCTTCTGGTCTGAGAAGGATGAACCTATATCTTTTCTTCATTTTATCTTCCAATCTTTTAGATCATCGATCTATTGGTCTTTGCTTGGGGTATAGTTGATAGCAGGCTACTAGAGTTACAAACACTTTTTCTTCTTCTTTAGGTTCATACTCTTCATCTTCAATTCTGCAAAAATTAACATTGCCAGGCCTAGGTAGAATATGGATAGGCTGGTTGTTTTGGCTAAGGCAAGTTCGATTTTGATTTTGATTTTGGTTTTGGTTTCTCTCAGACATACAGTAGCAAGAGATGTGGCGAGGTTTACTACAATTATAACAAACTATTCATGCAAGGTCATGATTATTATTATTATTGTTACTATTATTTGTAGGATGAGATCTTAATAGAATGGTTTCAGTATGCAATGTAAGGGCAGCTGTTAGTTTTTCTGACATGGCTTGCATCTGGTAGGTCAAGTTATTAAGATCATTTTCCAATTTTCTATTATTTTGAGACTTTTCCCTATTTTTTTCATTATAATATTCCTCAGCTTCAATTTTCCGTGTACCAAGTATAGTTTTCTCTAATGTAACAGATTCGACAATGCTCAACCAAGCAGCTATTTTAGATTTAAGACCTTCCAAAAACATTCGCACTATATATAATTAGGGCAAGCAATATTCCAGATCAACTCTTCACAACAATTTCTTAAACTTAAAGGCATATGTATCAATTTGCTTATTTTCTTATTGTGTTAGTGAATTAAGATTGACTTGCCATTTATAGTGGCATTTGGGGTGACAAAATATTAAATGAAATGGGTGATGAAACTTGCTTCTGGTTTAGTTTCTTTATCACAAAACTCTAGCATAATTTTAACATTGTTATACCAATTAGCGGCCACTTCTCGCAGGTACCCAGAGGCTATTTTAATCTTTCTTTTGAGCAACCAATTATTTGCATCTGCTGCTTAATCGAACAGATTGACCTATTCAAGAGGGTCTTCTTCTTCAGTACCATAAAACAGCTCAACATATACTAAGTTAGTATCTTTTTCAGAGGCTCTGGCAGCAGTAACAACTTCTAAGATGGCTTCTCTAAATGCATTGGCTATCTTCCTTAAAATGGTGTTTAGAGAGTCTGGGTTCTGTTATGAATTCAAATTTTTATTATTTCTAATGTTATTCCTTTTAATATGCAGAGAGTAGTGATCGATAGGGTTCTGCTATAATTGCTATACTTAGATTGTCATCCTTTCTCAACATACGCAGGACATTAGTCTTCATTATAAGCGAATCGTGGTTCTTTAATATCTTGGTTTGAAGGAGGAGCATTATTTTTAGCACCTTATTAGTTCATGGTGCCTTTTATTATTTTTGTTAGGGTGGATTTTTTTAAGTTGTTATGGGGGTATATGTAAGAGTTACTTAAATAAGGCAAAGTAATAATTATTATTTTTTTAAGAGTTTTTTTTTTATATTTATTAAATATTTTTTTTTTTTGGACTTTAGAAAGGTAAATCGATGGTCTATTTTCTGAATAAAGTGGGCTTTTACTTGAGAAGTTTACTCAATCAGACAAGTATCTTATTTCCTTTTGCTGATATTTATCCTCTTGGTATCATACTAACTTCTGTTTTAATTCTTAGATTCAATGATTCTGGCTAAAACAATATAGAACAAATCAATTTTGCATCAGAAGGAGGGAGAGGTAGTTAACATTGTTATAGTTTTATTTTTGCCTTTCAAATCTAGGAACAGCTGGGGTCGTTGTATCTCACAGTTATTACCAAATTGTTACTGACAAATCAGTAGAATTATACACACAAAGATAATTAAGAAATGTGATAAATTGTTGCTTGACAAATGGTTATGCCATGTAATGTTCCTCAATATTTTAGAGGCAGAATAATTTAGTACTGGTCTAGGGTGACGGTTAAGGAGCATTATTAAGAGAATTAGGATAAGGTAAGTGAAAGGGTTCTAAAAGAGCATTTTACTTTTTGAATTTTTTTTTTTTTTAGTATGAATTTTTAAGGGTCTTAATTTATTAATTTTATTACTTTTTGTAGGACAGAGAAGGCACACATTTTATTCAAGTGAAAATGATTCCTTTTTATAAGGTTTTTACAGAGCAGCAAGAAGAATATTTTTGAAAATTTGCTATTATTCTAATACATTTTGTTACATTACTTTAAGCCTTTTTCCTTCTTTTAGCCAATTCTTTTTCCTTCACAGCCTTTATTTCTCTAACAACATTTGGCATCCAAAAATGCTTTCATGTCATTCTCTTCTATTTTCTATATAGAACCCAAACTAATTCATTTCTTTTCGATTTAACTCTTTATTTCTTACTTTTCATAGCCTCTTACTTCTTGCTTATTCAATGCTTCTTTTTACCTTCCAATCAATGTTCCCACAATTATTCCATCTATTGGAGACACATCTACATGGCCACAAGCTTTATCTCACAACGCAATATTAATCCATTAACTTATTTTAGCTTGTATTTTCATCAATCAGGTTAATGCAGATTACTTTACTATTTCGGGCTTGACAATGGAATTGTTCTGGGAGCTTAGCAGCTATGGTCACGATCTCATGCAGCATCAATTCAGGACTTCACTGTTTATCCATTTTAGGCAGTTTTTCGAGATCAGGGGTTGTACAGATTTGCTACTAACACTAAATACAAAAAGAAGTTCTATATATGTTATAATTAAAACTAACATTTGCAGTTAAGATTAACTGTTAATTCTAAGTATTAAAAATGTTAAATGTAAGAATGAGAGTTCAGGTTTATTTATTTGCAGCTTAAACCTATTAGAGTGACTAAGACTTACTTAGATTGATTGAAAATTTCTAATAATATTCATTACTCTAGTATAGAGTTAAAACCTTCATGATTTTTTTAATTTGAATATAAATTAAATTAAAAAAAAAACAAAATCTAGATTAATATATTTATAGGTTTTGCATATCAACTTTGTACAAACAGACAGTCAAATTCATACAAACAGACAGTCAAATTTGTACAAACAGACAGTCAAATTTATACAAATTGGCAGTCAAATTTATACATAACATTTTTAATTAAATTGCAATATCTCATAACTTAGTAACTTAAATTATGTAAATTTGATATCATTTGATTTATCTAATTTTAATGAATTAAATGATATCAAATTTATATAATTTAAATTACTAGGTCATAAAATATTGCAATTTAATTAAAAATATTATATATAAACTTGACTGCCAATTTGTATAAATTTGACTGTCTGTTGTATGAATTGACTATTAGTTTGTATGAATTTGACTGTCTATTTGTATAAAGTTGGTATGCAAAATCTATAAATCTAGGTATAATATATTTAGACTAATTCAAATATAAATATATATCTGAATATATATATATATTCAGATATATATTTATATCTGAATATATATATATATATCTGAATATAATATGTATAAAATCTGGATATATTGGTCTCACCATTAATATTTAAAAAAAAAAAAAAATCTGGATATATGTAATATATAATCTAGATACAATATATAATCTGAATATATTTGTTTTCACTTTCTAATAAAGAATAATAAAGAAGTAGACAATAAAAAATTAGCAAGTAAATAAGAAAAAAAATATTCACTTTGTTTCTAATATGTCTAATCTTGTTAAATTAATATTGTCTTTATATCAAGTATATTGTAAGATGTATTATATGTTTGGTTTGGATAATTGGTTAATTTGGAATGCTATTTGCTCAATCATTCTCTTTTCAACAAAAATAAAAATTCAATAATGTTAAATATGTTAATATTATATATTTATAATAATTTTTTTTTTTAAATATTAAGGTGAGTACTTGTGACCCAGGATTTTATTGATAGTATATTCAGCTAATGGTTGCATT